TCTTTTTTTGCCTTTATGACCCTGTAAAATATGGTGTCGAAAATATGCTGGTCAACGTTTATCAAAAACAGAGAAACAGGAAGCAGGACAATGGCAGTTTCTTACAGTCAGTTTGTTGGGATCCGGAGGTTTGCCCACCAGAGGGCGCCAAGGATCCCTTCCTGAGGGCTTTTGCTTACCTGCAACACCTGTCTTTAATCTCCTCATCAGCCTTGGGCTTACTTAAGGGGGAGGAGACTAACACTCCAAGGCCAGAGTGTTTGCCAGTTACGGGAGATCCTGCCCGTTACTCTGAAACTATGGAGAGTTTACTCTGCTGAAAATCTGCCTGCCCGTTCTCAGTAGAACTCTGGAGAGCCTCTTCAGTCGGAATCAGCCTGCCCGCCCTCAGAGGACGACTGGGAGAGAGACTCTGTCAGTGATCTGCCTTCAAGTATACAGTAAGCTCTGCCTCCACCTCAGCCTGGTCCTCAAGAGAGAGAGAGAGAGAGAGAGAGAGAGAGCCAAGCCTGGAATCTGCCCGTCTGTACGCTGACCGTCTCAACCCAGCTCTCAGGAGAGAGAGAGAGATCAAAACCTGGAGTCTGCCTGCCTGCATTCAGACAGTATCTGCCCAGCTCACAAGAGAGAGAGAGCTCATCTGGAATCAGCCTTCCAGCACTCATACTGCCTCTGCCCAGCTCTCAGCTCTCCACCTGCCTGCACTGTGTTCCAAACCTGGAACCTGCCCGCCAGCACTCAGACTGCCTCAGCCAAAGCTCTCAGTTCTCCTCCTGCCTGCACTCAGCTCAACCTCTGCTAGTCTTCAACCCTCAGTCTGCCAACAGCCTCTGGATCCACAAGGTCCAGACACCCCCCCCCCCCCCCTCTGCAGCTCAGCTAATCTCCAAATCCTGATCAGTCTCCCAAACCCTGGACTTGTTTATTATTTTCTTTCCTTAAATAAACATTTGAACTTTTCTCCAGCCTCTGAGTGTTCTGCATATGGGCTAGGTTCTAGCCAACATGACACAGTTAGCAGATAAACTACAAACTGCAGCAAATAGGGTGTAACTTAAACTGTGATCTAATGAGCTATCAAGATTCTAAACATAAAATGAGGTTAGATACTGAATAAATGTAACTTCAGAAGGTGTGAATTTAGAATAAAATTGAAAAAAGCAAGAGTGTCTGAAAAAATAATGGTACTTTTATAGAAACTTAGCACCAGTACCTTAATAATGAATTATCTGACCACAGTTTAAAAATGTATAACCTATAGAACCAGATACTAAACTTGATTAACAATACATCCTTTTATCATCATTATGATAAAAATGGATTCAGTTTAAAAGCAAAACAATACATCTAAAATCATCCACATGGAGATGTTTCCAAAAGTTGTCTTCATCAGGTTCCTGAAAATCCTGAAACATCAAAAAAGCTACAAAACTAGAGAATAAAACCAGTCCTACCTTTGTTAATGTTTTTCTGTCGCTGATGATGGGAAATCTTGACATCACTGTAAGTAATGTCGTCCTCTTCAACTTGTGGATGACCTGAAATTAAAGTTAATGTAAAAGAATTAATTGTATAAAACCAGA